AGTTTTTACTTATTCTACACAATCACTGCAAATTTTTCGAAAATATTTTGACCTAAGACATCTAAGCGTAGATAACCATTCTCCTACTATATTTTATAGTAGGAATAAGACTACCTTTAGAAGGTGGATCATTCCCTGTCAGCATGGTGTACAGTACACCACCCATAGAATAAACATCAGCAGCTTGATCGTATTCTTGTTTGAAAACCTGACTGCAGAACGGAATTTAAAGAGAAACTAAAGTTGAAGTGAAAACTTACGGAGCTATATATCCAGGAGTTCCAACAACAGTACAAGCTGTCTCTCCTTTTTTCAAATGGGTAGCAAGCCCAAAATCGCAAAGTTTCTGAGATAAAAATGGCAATAAGTGAGAAGAAATCGAGAAAATAGTGTCACTTACCACAGATATCTTCTCTGGAGAGAATATCCTGCTGATAAGAACATTTCCAGACGACAAATCACGATGAAGAACTCCTTCACGATGCATGTATTTCACAGCGCAGATAATTTGACGTAATACGTATGCGGCTGAAACTATCTCATAAAGTCAACAGACGAAGGGTCAAGAGTATTTCACCTGCTTTATCGCTGAGAGGCCCATTTTTCTTCACGTAAGCGCGCATTGACCCTAATGGGCACAATTCCATAACTACATAAGTATCACCACCTTCGACAAAATCTTCGAAGAACTAAAACTTCTGCATGTGAAAGCGAGAGTGCAAAGAGAAAAGAAGAGTATACCTGAACAATATTCGGATGCCGCAAACAACGTATGGCTCTAATTTCATTTTTGATACGTTCGGCTGCGGCACGAGAGCAGATCTATAAATGCAGACTGAGAGAACGTATAGATATAAGACGGTCCACGAAGAAAATAAACAAATTCCCCAATATAAACAGATCATTTACAATCATGTGTTCATAACTGTTACAAAAATACCATAACAAAAGCATCTAATTGCTTAAAAAACTGCAAAAAACTGCAAACCTTTTTGAGAGCCACGCGATCACCATTTGGCTGAGTGGCCGCATAAACAACCCCAACCCCGCCGCGACCAATTTCTTCTAGGTCTTTGAAATCCTAAATAGAGATACCAATCAATAAACTGAAAACATAATTCTTTTTTTTAAGATACAGTCAATAATTAGTGAGAGGAGAATATGGCAATGCAAATTAAATATAGATGGAATAGAAAGCAAAAACTCACACTCAGCCGTAGTCTGTTACTCGTACACATCGCATCTCCAGGCTTCAATGAATATGAGAGCACTTGTGTTGATTAAATAGCGTTAGTATGGAAGAAATAAGCTTACAGCTGTTTATTTAGCAGAAAAGCGTTCAAATTTTTAAACTGCGACAAGCTCGCGCGCGCGTCACGCGCTATTGCAGACACGCGAGATTGCACATTTTTCCCAATCAAAAAGTGAACAGTTGAAAAGTAGTTT